AGTAGTGAAATAACATCAGGCGCTTCATAAAAAGCAAACACGCAATGCCAACAAAGATAGTGATCCAAGTTTCACAATGAAGTAACATACTAACAAAATACTTGCGTCCGAAACATTAGATGAACCTCAAAGAATGAATATAACAGAACATATTTCTTTACGATGACTCAAAAAAAAATTCAACTGAAAAGAATAGTAGATACAATTACTCTTGGTAACAAAAGAGATGCCCATAAATACACTTGGACAAAGTTCTTTCAACCGAAAATGCCATATGGGACACACTGATGGATGTTAAGATCAGAAAACCAAACATAATGCCATCAGGATAATAACATAAATGCATAATAGTGTTAATCACAACAAACTCTTAAATATGGATGGTGGCCAGTCCCGGAGAGCTTATCGTGGACGGTATATAAATAGAAGAAGGATACTAAAACAAACTTATACCATGTACACATTTTTTCAAATGCCAAAACAGAGGAAAATATAAAGTGACTCTTGGTAATCGAAAGTGGTTTAAGTCTAATTAAGGTCTTATCCTTAGGCCAACTAAGTTAATATGAGATTGATCTCCATAATTGCAGTCCACATAATATTAAGAAATGGGCCGTTGAGTATTGACAAATGACAATATTATAACAACTAATTCCATCGCTATCACACGAGCATGATTTCTTAACACGAACTTGCATGCAAATGCTTACTTAGTCCCATCAGGGTTGAAGCCAATTGAAAATGCAGCAGTAATTTCATCCATGGCATCATAGGCACGATACGTGCAGCGTAGCTGTATTTTCCATTTCACAAGTACTTGTTATTGACATCAAGCAGTAGTATAATACAAAAAGAAGTAGTACACAAATCAAGTTGGCAAGAATCCAAACACGTACAAGCATATAAAAAGTTGATAGATGGTACCTGTCCAGAATTAGCATCCCAAAGATGAATAGGATGGTCTCGTGTAGATGTTGCAAATACGCATGAATCTGGATCTGTAGAAGTCACAATCACATGCTAAATTATACCCTAAAAATCTAACAATTGGAAAAGACAAAATCATGCGGGGAAGATGTACTTGAAGCAGACATGTAGGGGTACCAGCAATAGTCATACACAGCTTCTCCCTCGCTAATGACTAGGTTTGCCTCATAAGAGTCTGAAAGAAAGTTGAAAGCATTGAGGAATGTTCAGACTTCAGAGAGAAAAGAACACAGCCGTCACAAGAGTTCGAAATAAAAGAATCATCAGATAAAATCTATCTCATGAATAAGATAAGGGAGGAAATTAACTCCTACTTCACAAACTAAAGATCCATACTCTAGTTGAATTTTAGATTCATATTCTAAAATTGAAAGGTACGTTTATTGTAAAACAACAAAACAACATTCTCAAGTCAGACAATTGTTTAATGATTAAGCCTTGGTTAACTATGGGCGTCAAAACTTATAGAAGTGACACTAACATCTGTCCATGAGAACCAAGAAAATCAAAATGTTCAACATTATAAAACTAACTAAACCAAGCATAATGTATGGGATCTCCAGAGTTCAAGAAACGTAGGCTACCAGAATCCGACACAGGAACGTTCACAAGGCTACCAGTTTCATCATAAGGCCTACAAGCAAAAATAAAGAAATCAGGTAAAACACTCGAACATAACCAACATGAGAAAGACTGGCTCAAAAAATTCTAGTAGCTGGGGCAATAGCCTTACAAACTGAAAACTCGGAGCGTATTTTCATCAGAGCAACTTAAGAAGCAAGAACCATCGGGTGACCTAATATATATTTGAAGAACAGAAATAAAATTAGCATATTAACTTAGCAAGACGGTGAAAATGTCAGACAACCAGTTCAAAATGCAACCACTTTTCTTATAATTCGAGATGAATAGAACATTTTAATGTAAAGAAAGTTCACCATTTGACGCCCTTGAGGAAGTTGTTAGGGTTTGAAGCAGTAGTTCTGAACTGCTGGTAGAAATGGTAGGTCCTGTACGGAGGGACGTCGTAGCGAACCGCCGGCCAAGAGTTCGAGCCATAAGAAAGCTCGACGTCAGCTCCTGCGGCGGATTGGGGCGGGCAACGCGGCTCTTCCCCAGCTTCTTCGCCCATTAGTCCTCCGCAGAAGGTGGCGTTTTTTGTCTGCGAACGAAAGTATATTACCGCCAAATGTTGCAACATAGATTAGAGGACCTTCTTGTTCTTATCCTGGGCCTGGTCTTGGGCCTCCTTGTCATTCAGCATCGGCCGATTTTGGCCTAACTTCTAATTATGTATTTAGGAGGCATTTAGAGGAGTATTCATTAGTGATTTATATAAAGATTCATTGAGATTTTATGTATTTGTAACTTGAACTTTTTCAAACTTAGTAAAAAAATTTAGAATTAAAAAATCTTAAAATTATGATTTATCAACCAGTTAGATTTGTCTGAAATTTTTTCAATTTATTTATCACATTACTCTATCTGGATTTTGTGAGACGAGATTTCAAAAACAAAAATCTTAATTTATCACATTACTCTATCTTCACCATTGCAGAGAAAGCAATACTTGGCCCTTGAATTGATGCATCAAAATGCATGGTACATATCATTTTTCTTGTTTTTACATGTAAATTACTAAATTCACTTGTCATGTTTGAGATAAAGTGTAACGCCCCGCTCTAACTTAATTATCAGAGTGCGTTTACAAGACATATTTTAAAATAGTTCGAGAAAATGATTCGGAGCGTTACTAAAACATCTATTTTTTTCTTTTAGAAACCCGTTATGACCGTTTAAAAATTTACAACAAAAACGGATTTACATAATATACAATCCGACTATAAAATCGGATCAAAAGTCAAGGTTCGACAAACAGTGAAATCAGCGGAAAGTAGCGTGGCAAATATACAACAAAAACATTTAACTTCGATCCACCCGTCAACTTCACAGCTCCGGACCGACTTCATGACCTGAAAAATTTTTGATAAAATGGGGTGTGAGTACCACTGTACTCCGTAGGAACTCATACTAAAGTAAACAGCAATAATAATAGTAACATCATGATCAAAAGCATATAACATAACCGTGAATTTCCTGGTCAACAGTATAAACCGGACCGGGATCCGTGAATCTACCGGCTGTCATGATGATAATGATAATGATAATGATGATGACAATAATAAGCCGGAATCCATGTGCACATACTAGTGGTAGATGAC